TACACATATATAACACTGATAGCGCGTGTGTTAATTTATTCGTCTCCGAGGAATTCGTTCGTTATCTGCTAGAGCAAATCGAGATTCTCGTCTTCTTAATTTATTCTTCCTCTAATCTGAGTGAGCCTCGCTATCTCTCATCTTTATCACGCGGAGATTAGAGGCGCGCACGAGTATCGTGTGTAAGAATTCAAATCAGACGTCTCGGTCGTAATTAAAAAATAACTTACTTCCACCACCGTCGATACGAACCATCGAATCCTCGAGAAGACCTTCTTTTCATCCAACACCCAGAGTCCGATTATACCGAGGAGATATTTGTAGAACATCAGAACGCGCGTGGTATCTGCGTTTCAATGTGCGTTCGATCCCATTCGATCAAGTTGCAAAATTCCTTCGAGGTTGTTTAAATTGAATTATAATGAGTTCACCACGTTTCCTTCGAAAGCAAAAGTATTAGAGTCCTCCTTTCGTTCCTATGCAACAACACGTTCGATTTATAGTATATAGGCGCGGGGAAAACTCTCGGAGCAACCCCTCGCGAGCAGCTGGATTTTTTTCAGCTCTATTATTCATGCCTAGGAATACAGTCGGCGTTTTTATTTATACAAATAACACGGTTATGTGAAACTCCACGTACTCGTTCACGTCGTTTGCGATAATAATACACCCACTATTATTCGGATGTTTGCTGATAAATAATGAATTTCAGTTGCGACAAAACAGACCTGCCGTTCTTCATTGGTGAAGAGGATTAGTACTTAGATATGCAAAATGAGCAAACGCATGCAAGAAAGGAGGGCTTTACACAAGGAGAAAAAATTCTAACGAAGGATTATAGATAAATATGATATTAATTGAACGACTTTTCTATCTCACAATACTGTGAGAATTGATTAGTGAGCGATAGCGGCAAAATGCTTTCTTCACGGTGTATTGTTGCCGGTACGGTATATATGTTGTCAGTAAATCAAAGGTGATCATAAATTTATAAGTGCGATAAAAGCGATAAGTTTATTATCGTATTTTGCCCCGGGCGAGAGAATTCTTCTAAATAAAAAGTAATACGATGACCGAGCGTTTCTTGGACTATGTTGTCACGCTGATGAAATTATAAGAAGTTGTGCGTTCTGCGATTTATTTCGTCACAGTGTGAGTACAAGCGTTCCGACTTATCTTAACAGTCTTATCTAACATTTGGCAATGTACGTTATCGATATCGCGGCCACGTGTAAAACCAAACGAGACGAAAGGTGGGGGAAACGCACACACGTGTTGCGTTGCAGTTACCAATTGTCGTAATTTATAATTGTGTGCCAACAATGTATATGGTATTACACATCTATCATAACCCTAAGAACGGAGATGTAAGAGCCTGTGGCTTTCAGGATCTCCTTGAATGAATATGCATTCATTGGTAGGAATTTACCGGCCGTGATTTGATGCGGTATCCTGCCTCGCAACATCACCGTCGGCAGGCTCTTCATGAGCTTCACGTCGAATTCATACCACAAAGTGGTGTAAACACTGTACGATAGCTTCTCGGTTATAGACTCCAGCTGATCACCGGCGTAGCAATAGAGGTACAGCTGCACCAGCATCGTCATGATCAGAATGACGTGCTTGATCACTGCCATGTTGTCGTTCATCCTCAACGAGATGATCAGTTGCGTGCCTGAAAACAAGCCCCGAGTGGAGACATGCTAGCGAAGGACCAGGAACGAAGCAAGGTGTCGCGCACTTGCATACGGACCGACAAGACCTTACCTTCCACGCAAAGCAGCAGTACACTCATCAGCGTCTGCGCGAAAATGGCCATATTGAAGGTGTACTCGAGACTGTCGGCCAGCCTGATCAGGTAGCAATGCCTGCCGATCAGCATCCCCATCTGCCTGTGGCAAGCGCGCTTCTCCACTTCGATGTTGGCCAAGTCCATCTGGAGCACCTCAAATTGACCGCACAGATGCATCGCCAGGCCGAAAAAGAAGCCGTCATTGCCGCAGTGCGAGGTGGCGTTCACGAAGATCTGCGCCGTCTGCAGCAGCAGTACGCTGCTGTGGGCGAGCGTGGGCAGCGAGCCGAAGACGCAGTAGGTCGCCAAGAAGTACGTCGATACCGACGTCGTGCCATTATACTCCGGCTTGGAAATGTTCAGCCAAGGCAGCAGCACGTCAAATGGCAACGCCATGAAGAGGAAAGACACGCCTGACGCATAACCCAAGTACAAGATCGACAGCGACACCATCCTGCCGACGTTGGTGTATCTTAGCATTACCTCGCGCTGCCGCTCATCCCTGGACACCATCGACCAGTCGTCGATAAGCGAATTTACCAGAACGTAGCTGTGTCTCCAGGTGAAGCGGACGACGAGGAGCTTGGAGAGGCTGACGACAGACGAGAGGTCCATTAGAAAGGCCTCCATCATGTCCTCGGTACCGAGACACTGCCGGTACGCCTCCAAAGACAGGCTGCCGATAGTACTGATCTGATCATCGAGGCGATCGTGTTAATTCGCGAGGATCTCCCTTCCGCACGCTAATTACTTCTCAAGCTAGAGTCTTAGATGTTCGGTACTTGAGACGTAAAAGATCGAAACAACAGAGTGAAGAGACGGCGGGTTTCATGCACGGAAAAAAAATTAATATCAATTCAATACTCATATTTTATAATATTGTTATGTCCTTGTTCTTCGACGGTGTCGGCCGGGCGCAATGAACACAGGAGTTTCGTTTCCTTGGAAACAAAACGGCCTTTTTTAGAATAGCTTCCAAGTTAAATTGCATTCAATTTAAGTTAAAATTTATTATACGTACGTTATTATAATCTGCGTCGTGACATTAGAAAGCGTGCAGTATTCTTTGTTATCATTCCGAGTGTTACTTTTTATTAAAATCGAAATTTTCAAAATGAATGCAAAATATTTCAATCGTAACGAGGCAGTATTCTTGATTTTGCATGCAAAGGAACCAAAATTAATCTATGTTCAGACTTCCAGTAAAAGTGTTGCTGGTTCGCACATAAATTTTAATTTTACACTTTCGACAAAGCTATAGAATGGAAAAATAAAGTGCTGTGTCGGTTTTGGTGCTGTTTTTCCTTGATATATTCTTACTTATATGTGAGAATACGAGTCTTCGATAGATATTAATTTCTTCCCGTGTACAATCGTTCCGTTAATAGCGGACGAATAATAATCGTTTCTCTTTTTTTTTCTCTTTCGTTGCTCACCTGTACCAACATGGCTGATATGCACCGCGCGATCGATTTGAAGTCCCGTACGCTCAAAGGCCAAACTCCGATTATCGAAAGGACCTTCTCGTGCGTTCCCAGAGCGCGATGGGTATCGTCGTTCCAATATCTCGCTTGCCCCATCGTCAGGCGGAATCGCTTCCTCGTGTCCTTTCCCAATTAAACGCCCGATCGCGTGAGTCCAATCGAGTCCTGCACCGAGTCATTTACGGGAACTCAGAAGTGCCATGAGGGAAACGAATGCGTTTCATTTGACTAAGAGTCTACTAAGGTAAATTATCATCACGTCATTACACACAACGTGCAGGTGTACCGGGACGCACTCTTTAGCTGAGGGGATGATAGTAGATCCTTCCCGAATGATCGTCATACAACGGCTTCGGCGAAACTACCGCGTTTATTCCATCTCTTTGCGCGTCGATCGGATTTGCTATGACGAAGGTACGCGGTCAGGAAAATCATCCCCCACATTGGGGCGGGGGTGAGAGTCAGCAAGAAACGTACCACAGAGTGACTCCCTTTGATCTTTTATTTACATGATGGATAACGTGTTCTTTCCCGAGAATAGTACCGAAACCGTATGTTCCCCACGTCGCTTTGTGACTGAGAACGACACGTCTTGCACGTCTTGAACTTCTATTCGATTACAGCTTTCCGCCGAAGACGCACCAAAGGTTTCTACGAAGTATACACGAGACATATTCGTGTACGCGGTATGCAGTGTAGTGCAACAACTACGCTTCTCTTTCATTTGGGATTACAACAATAGAAGACCCACGAAATTAATAATACAACCAAGCCGCAATCAACTCATTGTAAGTATGCACTACGTTGCGTGCACACGTTCTCGTTCACTGTGCGTGAAACGCATTAGTCTGTAGCTTTCCGAAGGAAAAAAGCATTGCCGCCGAATATCATTGAAGGAAAACTGAATTGTCGTTCTGTTATCAAAATATCGCGGTATTTCGTTGAAAAATATTCAAAGTCAAGAAACAGGTCTACTCTACTCTTTTAAGTCAAATCAGTATCACTGATTGAATCAGTAAAACAATGTTGTACCGCGATAATCGGCGAAAATTCACTAATTTTTAGTGGAAACACTTCCACTTGGCATTTTTGTCTTATACTTCACTGATTTTGGCCAGTGAAAGATTCATTGCAAATTGCTGTTATATATTCCGAAGCGGAAATATATATATGTGTGTGTGTGTGTGTATACGTATATGTGCATTTAACCATATTTGGCGTAGGTATTCGTATGGTAGCAGATTCAAGGGCCAGATATTTCAAATTCGAATCTCGTCAGGATAAGTGTGTTTTTCAAATACAATATAAATTAATATAATTAAAATACGATACAAATGAAGAACATTTCAAGTAATAACATTGGCAATACCGTAAGAATGATTAGGATAATAAAAAAGAAGTAAATATCTTCTTTCACTTCTTTCTGTTGTTAGATTTTCTTCATGTAAACAGTCATTAATTGACTTTCGCAACGAAATATACTGATTTGCAGTGCTTGACCACTTGTGACTACTTCTCAGCGATAATACATACACCGATTGCACACATTAGAGAGTTCCAAATTTGTAATCAAGCTTTATTCTAAATTAAACTGACTTATAAATTCTGTCGTGAAGTTCAAGCATAACTGTCGGAGTAATGAAGGAAGAGCGGGAAATTTAGTCGATAATGATCGTTCTAAGCAATAATATTGCAACGCATTCAACAACTAAATGTAAATAAGTTCATTCATCCAACATGACGCGCAAGACCGATAGATACGATGCCGTGGACTTTAGGATGCTCTTGAACGTTAACATGTTCATCACCACGAATTTCCCGGCGGTCAGCTGATGAGGGATACTGGCTCGCATCAGGATAAACCGTATGTCCTTGGCGGTGCTGGCCGGCAGCTCGTGCCAATCGCAATCATATGTAGCATAGGAGAGCGCGGCGCTCCTCATCTCCAAGCAATCGCCGGCGAACGTGTAAAACGACAGTTGGATCATCATGAGCAGTAAAACGCTAGCGTTATGTATAATCATGGGCATGTCGCTGACTTTCAACGACACGATCAACATGAAACCTGAAAGATATCACCGCTACATTAGGCGCACGCAAGTATGTGTGTATGTGTCGTTGGATTCGACATCGTAGAGAGGAAAAACAGCAAAACCAACAAGCCATTTTGCTTTTGAGCTCTAAAACCCTGTTGAACTAATGTTTTTCTACACAGATATAAACCAGCAACACCCCTCTATCAAAATATGTAAGACACTTTTGTAAAAATTATTACATATTTCTCTTGTAAATAATTATATTTTGTAGGATGTTGGGAGATTCACGCTTTTAGAAACTCCAAAACTGATATACGTCCATGATGTATCAACGAAAAATTATCAAAAAAATAAAATGCAAGCACTGAAATTATATTATTTTACATATACAATTATTACATGTTATGATCTGATATGTTTTATTATATAGAAAGGAATCCCCTGTTTTGTTCCTTTCCAGTTATCTTAAACAAACAAACAAAGAATATATAAAAATCAGGCACCTTCGGAAAGCTTCAATTCTATTCACAGAGAATAAAGAGATCGACACAAGATCCAAAGTGATTTGAGAAGCTCACACCTCGCACTATAAAAGAGCATTGTCAAATAAATTCTGTTCCGCTGGTTTGTTATTTTAATTTTCACAGGAAGATAGCTCAACAAAAACTTGAGCACAACGAAAAATCGGTTAACGTCAATAAAACCCAATCGCACGCGCTTGCAATCAGAAAGTCCACTTCAGCTTTGTGTAGACATGTTCTATCCGACAAAGTTCAAGTATTTTATAGCTGAGAAATATGAATGTGTTATCAGTTACCTATGTGAGTTTTTCTGCTTTTCCTCTTTTATTGCAAACACGGTGATAAACCGGCCTAATTGCACGTTCATCACTTTAACACATTTGTTACCAACGTCACGCACGCACAAGTGTGACGCAACAATCTCTCCACGAGAGACGTCACACGTATGTACGACAGCGAGATTTTTTTCTTCTATATCCATATTCTAAAATTAAGTCCATTTTATAAAATTAAAAAAAAAAAGAGCAAACGTATGAACTACGACTTGCTAATGAATTAAAAACTTCACGAACGGAACTTTGGGTTCGATTTGGCGGAGAGCGATTTTGATCTGAATAATTTTATTTGTCTTATACTTGACTACAAGAAGGAAAACGAAATTACCGTCTATACACATGAGGGTGGTGGTAACAAACAAGTATATGAAAACATTCGCGTGAAACGACTCTTCCATACAATCAGCCATGCGGATAAGATGGCAATGTCGCTCGACCGCTCCGGCGATCGCATGACGCGCCTCCTCGACTCGAAGATCGGACAGTTGGATGCAGAGTGCGTCGAATTGGCTGCACAGGTGCATAGCCAGCCCGAAGAAGAAGCTGGTGGTGCCGAAAGTCAACATGCCGGTGACAAACATCTGCATCGCCTGGACGACCATGAAAGCCCGGCGCGTCGACTCGCCCCGAAACACGCAGGACAATGACATCTCTTCCGTCTCTCGGCTCGCGGTCACGTTCTCGATCTCATGATCGCCTGCCTTCGCGGTGACCACTGATATCGCCATGAAGATGTAAACACCCACTATGACGCCCACCAGGAAGAAGGTAAACGTCGTCACGCGCGTCGACAGGGCCGCGTATTTCTTCATGACCCCACGCACCCGCTTGTCCCGCTGTGTGGCCCAATCGTCCATCGTGGAGGTGACCACCTCGAGTAACTCTCGCCGATGGATACGAGGTGTGATCAGCCTCGTGACGGCTAACACGGCCGCGGCGCCCGGCGTCACCGTATCGAAGGACTCCTTCGCGCCGTTACAGTGCAGGTAGATCTCCGTGAAGTAGACACACATCGGAGTCACCTGGAAGATCGCGGTGAAGTCAGTCGGCCGCTCTCTTGCGAGCCGGTGCGTCCGCGATAAGACAGATATTTCTTGGCCGAAATTCGTTTCTTACAGTTTCACCCCAAATTTATACAAATGTACACAGAAAAGAAAGATTCAAAGAAATAATTATTCCAATACTCCTTGGCAAACTTTTACTTGGACCAAGTAATATTTACTTGATCTAAATCAAATATTTTCCAAATAAAATATTTATTCGAGCGCACACACAGTCGCGTAATGATAATACTCCGACAAAACAATTCGTATATCAATCACTGCTTATATTCATTGTTCTTGCATAATCTTACGATATCTCGATAATTCATTGGAACTTATGTGTTTGGCCAGAAACTTACTCGACGGCATGAAAATATACCTGCCTCCAAAATCACGGCGATGAGCCATCGCAGGTCCATAAAAAGACTCGTTTCTTCCATCGGCCAGATACCGACACAATTCAGGACGAATCGATGCACCGATACGGTGTCTCTGCGCCAAGTCATCCCGAAGGAACTTTCGTCATAAGTATATGAACGACGTCGGACTCGTCTCCCGGCCGGCTTCTTTTCTTTTCGATTCCCGCCTTACATCTTTAATTCGCGTGCGACTGCGCGCTTATTTTTCGCGCGACGCCACGGAATGTAGCGGAAAGATTTTTTTCTCTCCAGAGAAGGGAAAAAAATTGCACTCTATAATATGCGAATATTCGCGATCCGCAAAACCGCTACCTTAAGGTACACCCATGTGTAACGGCATGCGGATGTTATCTTATATATTATTTATCGCGTGTCTCTTCGCGTGCCTCCTCTCTCTCTTTTTCTTTCTCTCGTAAAAATATTCGAATCTTGAAATGTCACCTGCAATAAAAAATATATGCCGGTCGTATCGATACGTCAATGTCGTGCGGAGAAAATAGAACTTCCTCTCTCTGATTTCTCATTTATAGCCGATGAATTTAAACGTGCGCCGTATTTTGCGACAGACACATCGGAAATGCTCTATCTTTCCCTCCGCGCGATTATCATGATGTAGAATTTAACCATTTATTTCTTACAAGTCGAGGAATACCGTTTCAATATTAAACTGCCGTCAGCGTCAAATTGCATCGCATCAATTTATAAACTGCCGCGCGTGCGGCATCTTCGTTTTACGAAGAGACGAGAGAGAAACGTCAGGCGCGGCGCACAAGGTTGCCGAGGTCGGTTTCCTCATGCGTGCCCTATATCACGAGGAAAAGAAAGAGAGAGAGAGAGAGAGAGAGAGAGACCGCAACGCGGAAGAAACAATTAGCTTCGCGCGCGGAACAAACAGAAGCGATCGCTGCTCGATTATTGAAATCTCGGCATGCAGCAATCGGTTGAACATCCCTTCTTCTTCTTCTTCTTCCCGCCGTGGATCGACCCTGGCTAATCGAGGAGAGACCGGCACTCCTTCACGCGCATTCCCTAATCCTTCGTCAGGTCAACGACTGTCTACCAAAACTTGCCTCCATTCGCGAGCCGGTTCTACCACGTAAGCTAACGCAGCTAATCTGTTATGACGACGAGATTGTATCTCGACCGGTCCGGCCATTTGAATTCGTCCTCGGTAAAAAAATCGTGGCGAGTGGTGATCTCCACAATATTCGTTAGATCGCGAAAAGTCTGTCACACGATTAATATCAGCAAAGCTATCCGATACTTATAACGGTATAGCCATTAATTTACATCGCGACTTCTATCACGTCCATTTGTTGCGATCGAGATCGTCGGCGGTGCGTCGACGATCTAATGATCGTTTACGGTGCTGAAGTAACGCATCAGATGCCTGGCGTCGTCTAATAGAGCCCGCCCGTTAATAAGCCGTATATTGTTACGCACCGAGCCGATAATCGGTTGCGATTATTAAAGACATACGACGGATAGATGTGATACGACACGTGTCATTTTCAGCGAATCTCGATGTAAAATGGCTGGTAGCACAAATTGAAATAACGTTATCACGCAAATATAATGTTCGTAAGAAGCAAGGTGGACGTAATTATCATTCTCCTCTTCTTCAAATCTCTTGTCCTTCGCTATCAGACAAATTTGATGTCAGATAAGAAAAGTAAATGAGTATACTGAGAAAAAAATATCCGGTATTTGTAACTATAATCATCGTGGTGAAAGAATTATAGTCAGGATTTTTCCACTAAGTATTATTATAGCGTCAGTGATAATAACCCTATTGAAAATTTCCCACCACGAGAACTCATGTGAATCCATAATAGGATAATAAAAATCCATATAGATATCCATATTACGTGCAGAAATCCATAGGAATCTATATAGGTTTACATGGGAATTTACATGGGAATCCACATGGACTCTTACTTATGACCGGGGCAAATCCCTAGGGGCAACCATGAGATTTCATATGAATTTCCTATATGGATTCCCACCTGGTTCTTTTTTTTTCAATCTTACACACATGTTGCTACTATTATTTTTATGGCCAAAACCATAGAAAGAGTATACAAAAAAAGGGCTAAATTCATATAAAATACTCATTAATACTCCTTAAGAAATTTTTATTCGGATCAAGTAAATATTTCTCGAATATAGAAAAAAGTGTTGCGTTCAAGTAATATTTACTTGACTCAAGTAAAAATTTGCTAATAAATATTTTTCTTTTGTGTATATTTCAGGCCGAAAATAACTATAATTTAACTAAATGTTGAATTTTTTCATTGAAGAAAAGAATTTCAGATCCATCGAAAATCAATGAGTACACACAACGGATCACTGCGTGCGAGACTGCGAATCCGTGCGGTGGAGGAAATTTGAAATTTTCTAAAGATCGCTCCTCACGCGATCTCTGTGTGGGTGTGTGTGTGTGTGTGTGTGTGGCAATAAATAAGGTGAAAAAAGATATTCGAGCGCAAGTGGCGAAAATATACCGCAAGTTTTTCGTTGCGGAGAACTCGCTCGAGTGCGGATAATATTCCAGCCGTGATCTGCATCGCGACGGAGACGTGCAGACGGTTCATTGTATCGCCGGCTCAGAGGCTTGCTCAGGTAGGTAAGTACCGTTCGACGGGCTCCGTCCGACGCCAGTCACGCCACAACCTTCGTCGTGTCAGGTGCACGGGCTTCTAAAGAATCTTACGCGCATCGTTCGTCCTCGAACACAGCCAGCCCGTTGATCTCTACTGACTATCAAGGTATGTGAAAGAGAAACAAATCACGCTACGCGCATCGTTGTCGTGGGCTCTGTCCGATTCCGCTCGGAGAGAGGATATGTTTTTCGACGAGTTCTCGGCATGAAACGACGAGAATTTACGGATGCGAAGAATTGAGGATAAAGTGCCTGGCCGAAATTTCACATCTCGCTGGAGCACCTGAGGGAAGTCTCGTTTAAACAGGCACGTGTGAACGAGAGAGAATGACAGGAATTTGAAATTTTCCGCTCGTCCCCCTCTTCGTCCAGTTCTTTTAATACGTTATTTTTTCGTTCAATAAACGACCGGTGGTGATTCATATGACGTTCCTAAATGTATTGCTGCTTATAGCGTAAAGTGAAGAATGGGTTTGATGAATATACTTGTACGGTTGGATATACAATGGACAATCAAATTCGTTTTAGTTGAAAGAAACAGAGTCTCTGATTGTAAGAACAAAATTTGGTTTATAAGAACTGAAAATTTCATTTCCTCCGACCAAACCGCATTTGATTGTACGGAGAAAATATTGTAATGAAATTTACCACTACTAATTATTTAGCGTACACGATTGATTAAAAGTCAGCGTTAACGAATCTTTGCTGACAGAAAGTGTTCGAAGGAACGCTATATACCGAGAAATGACTGATATCTCGGAAAATCAAATTAGCAACGATTAGGTGAGGAAACAAGTAAATTATTGACACTTAGAAATGTAGAGATATATCAGTATGTGTGATTGTAAGAACTAGTGGGCTTTCGAATATAAGAGCCGAGTATTTCGAAGAGATCATATGCATGCATGCTGATCAAGTCTTTTTTGGTTTGTTTCTACGTTTGTTTCTAGTTAGGTAAAGTTTTTATTTACATATATTATGAAACATCCTTTATTTATTGCGACATATATGTTAGTTGTATATGCGCGACAATTTAGCTGTGTTTTATTAATTATAGTGCAAAAGTCACTAGGGTTGATTAAAATTGATTCTACGTCAATCGCACTTATGGATGCGAGCTTTCTCTTTGAGCACAAAATTTTCCCCGTCGTAAATAACGTAACGGAAATTCGAGCTCCAATGATCGTATCGCCTTTCCACATTGGAAACACCATCGAACACGCTCTAGTTGACTGCGACTACCGTTGCCGCTGGCGCGGCCACGCGAGGGATCGCGAATTTTTCAACCGGCAATTCTGCCGCCACCACGCGTGTAATCGCAACCCGATTCGTTTGTCTTGCTGATCACGTTGGTGAGGTCTTACGAGCTGACTGATAATGTCCGAGATGTTAGGTAACTGTCGCCTCGTAAAATTGCAATTAGCAAGAATAAAGACGTCTCACTCGAAGCAATGTGCCTGCGAATGTAAAATCGAAGGATATAACAATTCGTACGTATGCTGTTTGTTGGTTGTTTCGAGATTACATATCTAAACTGAACTCATTCATAAAACTCTAAGAAAATAACTCTAACAAAGAACCTCGTGAAATAATCGTTTCTGAGATCTTCCGTCAAGCTAATATATTTTCACACGTATAATAACGTTAAATATGACATCCCGAGAGTTTATACACGTTAAAATTTCAATAACGGATCCCGAGATTATCATGGATTAATTCCGCTCGCGTTTTTTTTATATATTAACATGATCGCGCGCCGAGTAACTGTAATATTGTGCGATGATGTAATTTTTAGGCTACGTGATTTCCTCGTTTCTTTCGTTCCTTTTCTTCTAATTTTGGTATTAATGTTAACTTGTGATTACAGTGCGGTGTAATTATTCTAATACGAAGGACGGATGTTTCACACATAAAATAGATTTGTAGCAGTCAACAAATTCATTCGAGTTGGAATGTAAACCCAAAAGAAATTTTATCGAGATAAATAATCATAGAAATTACTAACATTCGTCTCGTTGCGAGAGTCGACGTTACCGACGTGCAAAAATTAAACGAGCGCTCGAAATGCAATCCGTACCGTTAATTGCTTCATGTCGGAAGAGTTGATTTTTGTTGGGTGGTTTCAAAAATACTGTCGATGTTCGAATTTATGTGTTTCGAAAGTGCGGAAAATACGTTTATGACAATGCGCGCAACAAAGGTACTTATTTAACATTTTAAATATTCGACATTTATCTTTAATAATTTAAGATAATGTATGACTTGCGCTTCTTCCTTGGTCGGCCAAGGTCTGCCTTTATCGGCATGACGATAAGCGAGTCACCGTATTATTTTTCCTCGAAGAAACTGCACAATCCTATTTGTTGCGAACCGAACCAAGTGCAATGCCGTATACGCGTAAAGATATATATATATAAGAAAAAAAAAAAAGAAACTTTTTCAGAACGCAATTTCATCTGTACCAATAATTCGGCCGAATCGTTCACTTCAACGACGGAAATTCTAAACAAACAGGCGGCTAACAGCGCTCGCTGTTGCGCGAAAATGTTTCTCGTCAGTCAACAAGTGAGGAAGCACTTACAACCATTATAATTTAACGATAAAGTTATTCCCGTTAAGTATGTTCTAATTGCTCCGGCTTTCGAGGCCACGTTCATTAGTCTATAACTACTATGAAAATGGTTAATTTGCGGACGACAATTTGCGCGTGGCCAATTTGCGAAATCGCCATTACACGTCGTGTGCATTTCAGGGTAATCTTTACGTAAGGCGTACCGTTACTATCAAGGTCACCGTTACTGCGATAATTTACACACGAAACTCCTTTCGGCGAAACCCGGCATAAAAGCGCCGTCATAATTTCGCAAGCGGGACGCTTAGAAAGCAATGCCGTTAAATCGCCGACATTTGCTCACCATTAGTCATATCGTCCGGGTAGAGGCGCACAATTGGAACACCTCACAGAACGGAGAAGGCGGCCATTGTCTCCTCCTTGACCTTAAATCACGACGACATTGCAAAAACCTCCGCCGCGCTTTCCCTCTCGGCAATCTGAGAACGAGGTGGTTTCCGTGTTTATTACTTTCATGCACACAGTTGTTTGTAAAACGTGGCGAACACAGGCGTGAAATCAAATAATGATGAGGTAACTTCCGCGTTGATTACCGTTTCTCACAGAAACAATTTTAATGTAAACTTCCTTTCGTGTCCAGAAACACAATGTCGGGTTACTTGTGCCGACACATGCCAACACTCCGGAACAATCAACATTATTCTTTGACTTAAACATACAAGTCCTTGAGAGGAAGGGGAAAAGAATGAAATATCACGTCTTTTCGCCGCACGCTTAGAGACTGAATATGTTCAGTCTAGTTAAGAATAAATCAACCGGTTTACTGTGAAATTCAGCCAAAATGTTAAATATTACAGGAGATATTCAAATATAAATTAAGAAATTCAATAATTTCATCAAATGGATAAATTTATATAAGTAAAAATACACGTGAAAAATTTACTTGATATGCGAATAAATGTTAAAAAATGAATTTTTCTTTGAAAAGATTAGTTCACGTAGGTACAACTATAGCGCACTAAACAGGCAAGGATGAAAGTCAATTTTTTATTACATTTTTACGACCACTCGATATTTGTTGACAAGTATTACATAGTATCGAAATATTAGGAGATGTGACAATCGAGCCGGCTTCTTATTCCTGCGGCCTGCCATTGACGACTTTGGCGCGTTGGGGTAACGATGACCAACAGTCCGTACCGTTAGGCCGAATCGTTATTCCAGCTGGAGAATGTCAATTTCATGCGGTTTACGGTACTCAAATTGCACGTTAATATACACCGGCGTTGTGCCGATCGTTTATCGTCTTGTTGCGACCGATCCTCCGGGATAATCAATGCGTTGTCCGGAAAATAAATTAAAATTATGACGGCGAGAGAGAGAGAGAGAGAATTAGATCAAACGAAGCATAGACTTTCACTTAGACACGTTCGCTCGATTTTGCGACAACATATTTTCTTTCGCACTCCTTCCCGGCACAGTTCCCTTGCGTTAGGATGTTCTCGTTTATATTAAGGATATACAGTGAAAAAGTGAAAAAATACTTAGAATAATCACTTGTCTTCGATCAAAGAAAATATGAAAAGAAAATCAAAAGAAACTACTTCTTTGACCGCCGTTCTTCTTTTTCGCTTCGAGCGAGTGTCGAAACGAGCATCGGGGCGGAAGATACATCAGGATCCGCTTAAAAACGACATACGTTGACCACGAGTCGCGACCACAACTCGATACCATTCACTCCAATCAATCGCGCGCGCGTTCTGCTCCGCGTAATCCTATCCTGACTCAGCGCATTCGTCATCATCGACGCTTTCGCACGGATCCGTGAAAATACTAACGTACGGCATAACGTCGGAGAAACAACGGTACCCGGCGCGAAACGCTTCCGGTGTGTCGCCCGCGCTTAAAATCCGACCTCGCGAGGCTCCTCCTAAAAATAACTCGGCCAGGATCGGCCGGATCCAGTTTTGGGGTCAACGACTCTGAGGATCACCGGTCGGCTGGCGGTCCTAATTGCAGGTCGCTCGATAGTCTTTGACGAATCGGTCGACAATTACGCAGCATGAGAGAAAGAAAGAGAGATCGTCGCACTAACCAAATATTATATTCGCAGAAGCGAAAGAATGTGGCTATCGAGGACGTGGCTGTTGCCGTTGCTGCTCGGGCTGGCGTGCGCCCAGAGGAACGACGAGAACGATGCGTCCAGCGCCTTCATCGAGGAGGCCCGGAAACTCTTCAACCATCATAAATCCATCGAGAACATGCCACAAGCGAAGCAGGTGCCGATGCAAACCGACGTCGTGTACTCGCGAGAATTTCGATTTATTTCGCCTGACGAGATCCTTCGTTAAATTTGTCTCATGATTCATCTCGAATAAATCAATTCAAGAGAGTCGGACAGTTATATCCTTAAACAAAGACATAATGCGGACACGTGTAATCAACAGGTCGGTGACATGCTATTCGAGAAGAAATCCTCGGCGGACAGCGTCAGCCAAATCTTGTCGGGTTTGGGCAGCTTGATGTCGGGCGGCCAGAATAATCAGGGCTTCGATATGTCAATGGTAGGCTCGATCTTGAATGTTCTGGGCTCGATGAACAATGGACAGGCGAATCATGCCAAGCGATCGATGAACGATGCGCAAGAGCGCAATGAGGAGCACGGTATAGACTGGGGCAGCGTGATCAGCATGGGTAGCGCGTTCTTTCAACAAAATGCCAACAGTGACATGGTGATGGGTCTCGTGCCAATGGTTCTCGAGACTCTGGGCCATGGGAGTAACGACGCCGATGCCGGCGATCACTCGGGGCACTCCTGGTTCTTGCCGCCCATCCTGGAGAACATTCACGTTATGTGGGATCATTTCAGGTATCGCGTTATCTACATGGCGAAAATTCGAAATTGATACCGAATAGATCCGGTCGAGAGCTAACTGACTAGATTAAAGAGTGCGGCCAAGATGTTCCCCATTTTTTTCCCGCTCGATATCAGATACTCGCCAACCTGATTGGCATTACTACCTCGTGAGAGGGTCAATTTCTCCTGGGATGGCAAAAATGATTGTCTGAGTCCAAGACTTTATAACGAGAATGAGCATTAATATATCGAAGAAATACACAGAACATCGAATGTGATTTAACACTAGAACCGCCGATAGTAGCCATTTTGGCTCTTCTGAAAAATTGCTATACATCCTACAAATTTTTATATTGATTAATAGTTTTCCTTTTCATCATTTTAAATATAATCTCAAATAATGTCAAAATAATTCTCGAGTAACCGAAAATACGAACTAAATTAACACCTTTACTCGGCAGTTCTAATATCTTTCTTGATTTTTTTCGAATTTTTATCTCTCTCAAATAAGTCCCGAAATATTAGGAATAAGTGTGAAATAAAAGATTGATATTTTCATGTAACAATATATTACAGCAATTCAGAGCTCGGCCAGACGTTGTGGAAGAATAGCGGTCTGTCGAAGGTGATGGCTCAAATGTCGGACGAACATGGTAACATCCAATACGAGAAGATCATGGACAGCTTCGAGAACCCCACTCTACGCCGGAGATGGATCAGGTCGCTCACGAATTTCGTCTCCGAGTGGATTTCTCACGTGTCCGATCCTGTGAATCAGCAACGTTATCTCTCAACCGCGCAATTCGTCGGCAACAGTTTCCTAAAGTCCCAGGGATTCCCGAAATCGGCGATGTTCGACGCTCAGAGACCAGCGGACAGTCTTTCCAGGTTAGCGCAACAACAACGTAGAATGAATACAACAGGTGATACGGTTTCTCTTGTTCAGATTGGCGAACATGCTGGCGCGGAAATACTTGAGCATGAATATCGATAGCTCGCTGTATGTGAGGCCAGCGATAGCATACTTCCAAGAGTTAGTGAGTCTAGCCTCGGAGAAAGGATTCATCATGTCCCGAGTAAATGCGCGAGAGTTGAGCAATAAACTGAGCGATACCATCAACAACGACATCGTCTCCCCCTTGCTCAAGGTATAACTGCCACGAATTCTTGCGTACAGAGACGCGTAAACTTTTCTCTTCGGGAATTTCATAATAATACGTTCAAATTCGATATTTTCCTAAAAGTTTCATCGGTTTTAAGTCAATCCTCTTACAATTATAAACGCGGTATTATTTCGCAAGCTGTTTTCGATGATTTCCAGGCGTATCGAGCGCACAAGTGGGCGACGAAAATGCCGCACTGTGCTAGTCAAATCTTGTGTACCATAAACGAGAAGAGCCAGCAGAGCGATGGTCGCGACAACGAATCGCGCATACGCAGCGTATTGCTGAAAATGGCGAGTTTCCCTGCGGCTTGGACGGTCAGCAATAAATCAGGAATTAATTTCTGGTCCCTCTACGGGGCCATCATGGAGAACGAGGGATGCATCGTGAGTAAACTGCCTCACCGGTCGCGCGAGAGAAACTTCGCGAAAGAGCTTCCTATAAACCTTTCAAATGATAACTTTGCTACTACAATATATTTCGGCGACTCTTCTCACAGACTAACTCGCATTTTTTACATAATTGTGTAAAACTTTACTGCAATTCTAAGCAAATTTATGAGTAAATTGTCAAATCGTAGCTTACGAATCGTAAGAATCTAGCCGATATTCACAATCAGATTTTATATTTAAGACCGTCTTATCTTTGGATGCATTGTAGCCGATGAAGCAATATATAGTATTTGAACTTAAGTCGATCTTAAGATCTACGAATATTGACTTTTAAATGAATTGCAATTCTGTACTAGCATTTGTACTGTTCATCGTTACATGCACAGTCGGTCACAGAACGGTTTTTTTGTACATGTTTCAGAACACACGAAAAATACGGCAAAGCGAGCCTATGATTTACGAACATACGCAGTAGATAGTCAGTCAAACTTACACATATCTCATTTCGACGGCTGTCCAACCATTTATTGCACATGTCGTAAATCATAGGTTCGCTTCGTCGTATTTTTGGTGTGTCCCGAAGCATGTAGAAAAAAAACAACCGTCCTGTGACCGAGTGTATCATTACGATGAGTGGCTCTAATTTCAGAGATAGTATTGTCATTTGCGGCAAATTGCGTGTGATTGCGCATAAAGAAAGCTCATCGCGAGTTCTTATTTGCAGGTTCACTAGGTAGGGAAAGAAACAATCGACACTAATCAGTGCATCCGTTCGCTATTATAAATATTTGTCTCGTCGATTCTCTCGCGCTACCCGCGATTGTGCGATCCCCTCACTCACCTCAATTCCGCTTTCAGAGAAAATATCCGGCGGACTGCATGGCCTTCCACGAAGAGGAGATCCGGGTAACCACGGAGAGCATTCACAACGAGCTTTGAATTTAGTTTCGTTAATTCGCGGCCTGTGAAAGACATTGCTAAGTCGCCTCGAAGAAGACGCGCGAAGATCGAAAGTTCGTTTCTAATCTCTGTCCCATTGTATTTATTGCACCAAGCAAAACGAAATCGACGTTGGTTTTGTCGCTGCGCTCGGTCCGAAGGCGATCTCTTCATCGTCGTGTGTGGAGCATTTCTTCGTCCCCTTCACATGTACATACAAGCGTACTACGACGCGTCAATCCTGAACGTTCAGTTTTGCGGCAAAACAACCGAGCGTCCAAGAGACGCTGTAAATACGTGTAGAAAAGTTTTTATTTCGCAAACGCGCGACTCAGGCGTCTTCTGGGCGTCTCTTCCGGTCTTCCATGCTGCTTCGATAAATCCACGTTTCAGAAGCAACGCGCTCAGATGAGAGCAAGTGTGTGTGTGTGCGTGTGTGCGTGTGTGTGTGTGTGTATGTGCAAAACGTCTCGGACGAACCCCTTCGAAAGATAAATACTACACGAGTAGTTAAGACTCGAATTAAAAAAGAAAGAGGAAAACCCAGGCTAGATTTCATACTACAAAAGACGCTTAATGCGTCGATTATCAATGGCACGCCATTCCGGGCGCAGAACGAATGGTCTTGAATCTGATCGTCCCTAAGCATGACAATCGCCGGAATGTTGCGATACGGCTGATTCTAATCGTCGCTAATTAGTTGGCCGTTGCATCTCATGAAGCCACGATTCATCTTAATTACTTATGTAGTATTCGTCATTAAAATAAAAAAAAAGTTCATAGACATCTACGTACAAGCTGGGTTCTAGCGCGTCTCCGCGATTCTCTCTTTCGCGAGTGCAATAAACGACGTGGTGCTCAAGTCTCTACCCTAATTATAAGTATAAATATTACATTAATAATTATTATCTATGAATATGTGTGTGTCTTCTCTCTCTCTCTCTCTCTTTCCCTCATTCTCTTTCTTGTTTCATTTGACTTTATTTTACACTTTTTACTAGATAAATCTATAAAAATTTCTAATCTATTTAAAACAGCGAGAAGGCACGTTCCTTTGCAACACGACGCTCGCCATTACAGATCTCTCTCTCTCTCTCTCTCTCTCTCTCTCTCTCTCTCTNCTCTCTCTCTCTCTCTCTATCGCTCTTTTTCCCTTTCTTCCACGCGAAAAAATAGAATTTCGCGAATTTACGAGACTGTTGACGAACGGTTCGTTCCAAAATGGACGGAAGTCCGACGACTGGATACGTTCGGTACGAGTGCGAGATGAAGAATCCCACGCTGAGCATTCAGATGTTCGTACTGAACTCACAAACGACAGTGTTCTCAGTAGCTCCTTGTAAATAGTAGATAAAAGATAAATAAAATTCATGTGAAATGTACAACGATCGGTGTACATTTGCTCCTTTCGTGCGTCCTAAATGTGAGGTAAACGTCGATCGTGTTTCTCGACCACCGCGGCGCGCTTATTTCCTCTTGATGTTTTTACACGCCCACTCCAAACCTTCCTGAAAAATGAAGAAGGAGCCGACTTTAAGACCGTAGATGAAAAAGAAGGACAAGCAATTTTGAAAAATATATCGATTATTTCGAGAGGAAAAGATGATATTAAGGTCCCTTCACAAGCCCCATTTACATTTTATACAATAACTTTGTCAATAATCAACATTTTCAGTGGAAAACTTAACGATTACATTCGTCAAACTGTTGTTCAATCTAGACTCAAAATTGTGAGATATTTATTTAGGACTTTTCTTCTGTTTGAAGAAAGGATTATCCAAAACTTAAAGATGAGAAGTTTACTATGGAAACGCCGTTATGAGAAGTATTTCTTTCAGATCGAGGTGTCGACTGTGAAGATATGAGAATCCTGAAAGTTTAGAGCGCAATCTTGATTTGAAGAAGGTGCCAAAAATTACACAGAGGCTATACCAACAACTAAGCAAGAGGATTCATTCATTCATTTGTTACTGGTTTTACTGAAGTGCATCCTAAGGCCATAATAATACTACTTACTCCACTAGTATTTAACAACAGAATTGTTGTGACATGATTTTCTTTTTTCGGATGTCTCTTGCGTACCTTTACACCCTTGCCCTCGATGGCGATGCAAGACTGTATTTGCCAATCACGATCCTTGATATTGTGCAAACCGAGTCCCTCCGCTATCTCGGCCGCCGTCACGGCGTGTCCCAGATCCTGCTTGTTCGCGTACACCAACAACGGCACTCCTCGTAATTTTTCCTCCAGCAGAAGCTCCGACAGCTCTTGTCCCGTTTCTTCCAGTCTCTTGATGTCCGCGCTGTCAACGACGTAAATCTATCGGAATCGAGAAAAATACGTCTTAATTTGAATTTTCCATTTAGCGAAAAGGATGGAGAATTTGTTCGACATATTTTTTTCGTCTGCGCGACGAATTCGAAAATATCGACAAGACGAATGATCTTTCAATAAAAGGAGAGATCTAACACGGCCATACACACACATCTCTACTTGACAGCATGATCTAACGCGCTATGTGTGAAGCAGATGCTTGTTTCCGATAAGAAATTTCTAAAGGTCCGTCGTGGTGACGTTAAAAACTATCGCCCCGGTTGCTCGCACATTTGTAAAGCGGCTTTCCTACGATAAATACGTTACGTCGAAAGAGCAAGCACAATGATAGAGTTTTAATTCTTTATAAAGCCACGTACGATTGATCTCAATAGTGGAACCGTGCCATCACTGTCCGCCCTGCTATGAGACTTCACGATAAAACGATATTCTTTTGTTCGTTACCGTTGAAATTTCATGAAACCGTTGCTTCATCAGGAGGTGAAATGAAACTCCCGAAATAACGGCACGTAAAGAATTAATACGCTCACCAGCACGTCCGTGTTCTCAAAATAATTTCGCCAATAAGGCCGAATCTTTCGCGCCCCGCCGATATCCCAGACATTCAGCTTGAAGCCTTCGCTTTGAACGCTCTTTATGTTGAAGCCTTGAGTCGGGGTGACCTTGGGGAAATTAATTCATCTGTCATTCGTATATATCTCGTGTGTTGACGCGCATTTTGCGATAAATCGTGCACGCCAAGATCGTGCTCACCTGCGTGATATCTTCGCTCGCCAGCGACTTCAAGATTGTCGTCTTGCCGGCATTGTCCAGGCCCAACAGCAACAAACGCAGCTCCTTGTCGGGGTTCGACCGCAACTTTCGTAAAATAGCGAGCAGACCCTGACATTGAATGCCAATTTTGTATATTCACAATTATAAAATTATATCTCGAGATACACTTTACGCGTTGTACTTTAAAGATAAACGCTGAGCCTTATTACGAATATAAATTAGAAAATTTAAATGATTGCATATCAAATGAAATTTTATATAGTATTTCCGAGATTACATATCGCGGACTTTTGCCTTGGAATATTAACTTCTTATTACTATTTGTAACATTGTGCGGAAGAAAATAAGTAATCTTCTATTTGCATGAGAAATTATTCAACCAATTCAGAGATGAAGTAAAATTTGTAAGCGCGAAAATCTAAGCTTTGAATTACGCGCGCGCGCGATCAGTGCGTGCGTAAATCCCGAGGAAATAATTCCCACCCAATGGCACACGCGAGGAAAAGGTTATAGATCTATCCGAGTCGTGGGAAGCGTATTCTTATACGGTAATAAAATAAGAAGATATTTTCGATAGGAGAGAAAAGTGTTTCGCAATTGGTAAATGCAGTGCTTGAGATTGGTAAATTCCAATGCCGACGTAAATGCATTCTCGCGTTCTCTACTGCAATCCGCCTTCGAAGGTTATGTTTCGTGCTTCCGAGGATGTAGCACAGGATGGAAAATAATAGTGCATAACGGTGTGCATTTGTATTTTATTTACGTGACATTTTTACCATTTTATTGTTGGTATTTCAGGTACTGGAGCGGAGACGCGGTAACGATTTACTGCAATACGTCGACGACTGCCCAAAATGTCGTGTTGTTTTCCTCGTATCCAAGGGAGACAGTGACATCTGCAGAGAGCGGCCGATATTACGTACAGCCGTTCCAACGTGTTCCCAGTTACCTCTGCTCTTATAAAGTAACAACAGTTGATAAATAAAGTCGGATAAGCTTCCGAAAACCACCGACTTCATAAGAAAATAAAAAAATATTCAAAATAGCGACCTTAAACGAGGAATATATAGGATAAATAATCTTGAGTGATATACCGATTATTTTCTAGAATTGAGCGGTTTTTTTTATTCATTTTCCGACCAGAAAACCGGAATGAATTTTGGAAATATGGTTCGAGTGGATGTATTATTTAAAAGTACTTGAAAAAACTAAGCGTTTCAAAATTTAACAATTGTCTAAAACATTCTTGTGTATCTTTTAATTTCCCGCATAAAAGTGTTCTTTTAAATTCCCAAGTTCGTTAACTACGTTTAACATGTTGAACTGATAACGTAAAATGTATTTTAGAAGGAGAAACGTTTGATCGTTTTCCCACATCCAGTTTAACACATGTAAACAATTTATTACAAATGTAAGCAAAGATCCGCGTAACCTTGAATTTAATCGATTATTACTTTTGCGGTTTTCTCAAATTGATGATGTAACTAGTTTGACGAGATATATCGCTTGAGTGGTTTTTGAAAGTTCAGTCAAATAATAATGCGCTGTTACATAGAAATTTTATCGTTACCACTTACAGAAATATGCCGGTATATTATACCGGCTTCAACGCTAGTCCCCTGTTTTCCGATCAGGATGGAATCACAACGTCAATATCGCGGTTGACCGAAATTCCATTTTCTGAAATCACAAATATCGAAATAGGTTGGAATTATTTTCTTTTATGGCGGGGCACTAAATTGTACATCACTGGAAAGATCAGTGAAAATAACGAGAGAAACGGTCCTCATTTAATACAAGTTCCACAGGAATCATCAGGCAGGTAATGAATACCAAATACTTCATTGTTTAGGTCTTTGAACCATCTAGAGAGTTAACGTGCGAATGATTCTGTAATAGGACTTCGGTTTGTTATTATTATCATCATCGTTATTAACTTTGTACAGTTGTAAAATAGCTATCGCTGGTCGGGACAGCGTAATTATTTTGTCAACGCTTAACGAAATTTGGAAGTACAAAATATATGACGGCTCTTGGCAAAAAGTGACCCCCTTTATTCCCAATAATGATAACTTGCAGACCGAATATGCCATCAAAATGTCACAAGCGGGATGTACAGTGGTACTGACTAATTTAGGTATGTAAATGAGAAGTGTAATAACTTTTAAACGAGCGGCAAATTCACCGTCGTCAAATAGCACACACAACTCTTTCTTTTCTTCTTCTCAAGGACGCGTTTTCAACGCTCCAGTCTTGGCCGAGATGCCGAAGAGAGTCAAGTTTGTTGACATTGCCAGCGGTTTCGACCACACCATTCTGCTGGCGGAGAACGGCGACGTTTATTCGATGGGAATGGGAACGTACGTAATATATTGCATCATACGCGAATTATTAACGAACTCTCGAAAATATCATGACAGACGCGGTCAGTTGGGGCACAACGATTTGGAAGATTACGATAACCCGAGGCTGATCGAGGCTCTGGCAGGTTTGAAGGTCGCACAGATATCGGCAGGTGGATGGCACAGCGCCGCAGTGACCGACCAAGTAAGAAAACCCAATGCGTCGACTCACGATCATTTCTTTTTGACAATCTGCTTCGACAGGGCGATCTGTATACCTGGGGATGGAATACCAACGGAGAACTAGGGATCGAAAGCGAGGACACGAAAGTACACGCGGTTCCAATCTTGATTAATGTCAACGAAGAAATGAACGTAATGAGCGTCGAGTGCGGGAACTCCTTTACTATTTGTTTGACGGGTAATACACGCGTGTTTGTCAATTGCGATGTAAATGATTTTCTCCCCGGACATCTTCTACCTTTAGACGACGGGTCCTTTTGGGGCTGTGGCACTAATAAATATGGCCAGTTGGGGAAACTTCACCAGGGCTCTGGCAATCCTCGTAATTTCGTTCGATTGGACACCGGAGCGCTAGATCCTAAAACAGTGAGAAGATTTAAGTGTCACGAATGGGGCACGGCGATAACCACGGGGATGGAGTGACGTTGTACTTTTGCTGTCAAATAAATTTTTTCTCAGTCGTGCGTTCGTTCCCTTTAATCCTCCTCGTATATTCCCCGCGTGCGTCTCGCTTCTTTCGCCTCTATCGAGAATAGACCGCCGGCTAATATTTCGTCCTAGTTCGAGAAAGCCGTTCGTAGAACTGTCAACTCGTACGTATTAACCTTTTTCGTTTCTAAAACATTCAACGGAGCTTATAATTGCAACCTATAAACCGCTCTGATGAAGTAAATATATATCTTGTCAACAAACACGCAAAAGCTAGCAAAATAATAACGATGAAAGAACATGCGATAAACGGAACGGATTTTGTTTTCGAAGATAATTACTTTTGATATTTCTGAATATTAACCAAGGATTCATTGTTGGTATATATTATTACCCTCTGTCGCGAGTGAAATCTAAAGGAAACGTCCACAAATGTCTGTTGATAAGGGAGGCAGATATTTCGAACATCATAATAGTATGTGTCTAATTCCGGTGAATACCTCAGTTTCTATTTATTTTTTTTTTTTATTTTAGAATCTATCCTATGACCGGAGATACACTTTGTGTATAATAAAGTAATAATAGCCTGTTTGTAACAGCACTTATTTGGGAGTGCTCTTTTCCAATTGCTCGCGAGGGTGCAATTCGAACAGCTTAATCTCGCGCGGTACTCTCGATTTGCGTTACGAAAACTGCGTATACATATCGTGAGTCTTACCTGCTCGATAACGAAAAAGATGAATCTTTCTCTCATATCATCCTTAAAATAGGAATAAGAAACTTTCGAAATGACGATATGTTTCTTAAATCTACTGCGATGCTGTAAGCTGCATCCAATGCGATGTCGCGTTAAATCGGAAGATCGAATCACTGCGTCGTCTACGATTAACGAAATCTTGTTCGAGGATTTTTCTGCACTGAAATAAGAGTAACTTTTGTAAAACTCGTTCTTCGACGGGGTGATATATTCTGCAATGAATTAATGAAAACGTAGACTAAAGGATGATACTATATTCCGTTTACCTGTTTCTTCGAGTTCCGCTGGACGGATGGTAAGCTGGGGACGTTCAGCATCCCCTGCCGTTAATTCTTCGTACGATTTATTCGTAATTAAATATTCCGTCGATACTCGTTGGATTTAAGAGAATACTCGTCTACGAGCAATGCAACAATCGATCACCGACAGATATTTTCTCACGGAGAAACAACATTCTCATTCGGTCGAAAAAATCGGACGAGCGTTTTTACCTGTGAAATAATATTCTGTTTGCGCAGGAATCTATTTCCCGCGCGTGAAAATATTAATTATGCTCTCTACAAATTTATCGCGTGCGAAAGATGCCGTGTTTGATACTTGCAACTTCAATATGACATTTGCTCGAATTATCTCGAATTAATTCCATCTCGCCAGCTAATTAAAACACTCGTACCATGATCGTCTAGATTATCTCTGTAATGAATAACTTGGAGTGCTATGATATCCAGTCTTGTCAGTTAGTCTCGTAGTCGGCAACTCCCAGAAAATCGCCTAGCAATCTACGAGACGATTTTAATTGTTCGTTTGTGCTCGGAATTCTCGTGAAATACGGCAAAGTTGCTCGAAACTTCACCGACTCGATGATACATCGCGGTTCCGCTGTCTTCCCGGCTCTTGAAAGTGCTCGGAAGAGTCGGCAACATTCTTTCTGCGATAAATAGCCGAAATAGGAGATTTTCGTGAAACTATTATCGTCCCGATCACTCTTACGTTAATCTCATGATCAATGCGAAGAGAAATTCCAGTTTAAATTTGCTCATACGTATAAAACTTTTAGAAAACCAATGAAATTACTATTTAAATACGCAATTGGACTTTTAAGCTAATAGAAAGTTTTCGAAGACAAATTATATCAGCGTTAATTTCGTTTCTATTTTTAACGAACATATTCTCCTTTGGCAATTGAATCGGCTTATTAGACAATTTCACATATTATTATATTGAAAAGCAGGTTACACATCGCGTAAAGTTATTCCCGACTCTCCCGATAGATACTCACACCTGTGCTCTCGCGCGATGTGAATGCAATCGCATTTCCAGCGGAGAATCGCCTGTCGTATACACGTCGGGTGAGAATAAATAACAAAAAAAATCACACGCGGAGACGACACTCCGTTTTGTTTTTTACTCATTGGTTTTATTAATTTTTTTTCCATATTTTGTTCAATATTTTCAGAAAATAACACTCCAAAGCGAAAAAACCGTATATTCTCACCAATCCCAATGTATGTATAATATATATATATTATACTTCTCATATATAATATATATGTATATATATATAATATATATATAATGTATACTTTTATACTTTATATATAATAATATTATGTAGAGTAGCGCACACTTTAGACTGTTATGTATCGATACCTTTTATAATTTTATCGATAAATTACAAATATTGAAAAACATGAAACAGACACAGTCGGCGGGGACGCGCGGACCTCGGCGTGGGGACTTTTTTTCTCTTACGGAACCGTGAAAAATGTTTTTCGCGACGGATAGTGCTGTCCGCCGCTTCCACGTCCGTCCGGTCCGGAATAAATCGCCCGAAGGAATCGCGTCTTAGGTCCGCGAATCGAGGAAACCGGTGGAGAGAAAGGGAAAGAGCGAGGGAGAACAATGCGATCGAAATGAAGTGTTGGATCTTCCTCTGCGCGCCAAGTGTTTACCCGCTGAAGTTCTCGCTCGAGCAGAATGGTAAAGAGGGGAGGAGAGGAAGATTATTATACGGTAGACGCCGGCAGGCGGAAGCGGAAGCGGCGGGGTCTTCGTCTTCTCTCGTCGAACGCTAATAACTATAATATATAATATGTAATACGAACGCGCGAATATACGCGTGCCCCGGCGCGACTGACTTTTTTTTATTTATATATTTTCACACCGAAGTCAGAAAGGCAATACGCAGTATGAACTTACTTAGTACATTTGTGTTTTGTGTTTGTGTGTGTACGCGTTTATGTGTGTGGCTTTTACAGCTATTTTTTTCTCATTTGTCTATTGTTCCGTGTGCCTTCTTCTTCTGTTTCTTCCACTACTTCCGCGCTTTCTTCTTCTTCTCTCTCTTTTTTTTTTCTTCATCTTCTTCTTCTCTTCCATCATTTGGTTCTTCTATTTTTCTTTGTTTTTTTTTTGTTCGCTTTTTTGTCGCACAATAATACGCTCTCTCTCTCTCTCTCTCTCTTTCTATCTGGTAATTCGCTTTGTTCTCCCCCCGTTTTACCTCGCAATTCCCCATTTCTCTTTTCACTTTCGGTAACCTTATTCCGTCTTCCCCCCGTTCTTCCGAGTCACGAAAATTATCCGGAGACACGTGAGAGTAAGAGGGATAGAGAGGTACGAAGAGGAGGGATTTGTAGGATTGGGTGGTCGGAGGGTAGCGGAGAGATAATCGTATACAGACGCGGCTAACGGAATCAATCAACGTAAAGGAACCAAGGTAAAAGAAAAGAGAAGAAGTAAGAAAAGAAATGACACACAGGTGGAATGGTGGCGATCGCAAGCATTGTGACGTCGTCCGCTAATCAGGTTCTCCGAGGAAATCAGAGATCTCGTCGAATCCTTCATTACGAAACGTAACTCTAGTACTCGGCAAAGAATGCCAACATACTCGCCAGAGACATCTACCGAATATTAATCACTAATGTTATGTGAAAAATACTGTCACTCTCGCAATTTGTACTCGTAAATGTGTAAATTACGAAAAACGCGTGACAACAGTAATCTTTAGGTCGCACGTATTTCTGTTCGTATGCAGCGGACCTCTGCGATGGTTAATTTTTATTTTACATATTAACACGTTCGCTACCAGGGTCTGAGAAGAAAATCTTGCACCGCAGCTTAGTAGGGTGTTGTTTTATGTCCCCAATGGATCTTTTTAGGATATAATATAAAATTATCTCTAGACCAAGGACATCTATTTTTCAGCTCAACAATACTGTTCCAAATTGATTGCAATACGTTATCATAAACTGATAAAGAACACGCACCGCACACCCGCGGCGGTGGTAGCGAACGTGTTGCTTCATATATAAATATGTAAACCAGCGATTTGCTTCGCCCGAACTATATTCGTCCAAATTGACTAAGCGCCGAGAAAGAGTCAGCAGAAGATTTAAAAAGAGCGAGGTTGTCAGACTGATTAAATATGGATATCTTCCGTGGATACAAATTAATTTCCTCTATGAGAGATCTCTACGATTTCAGGAAACCTGCCAGCGTTTGTCCCTTGAGATCGCGACGGACTTTGTGATAAGGCGCGCTTCACCCTGTGTGAACAATGAGACACTACAATTTCTCTCGAATTATCTTTGCGTGTCTCATCGTATTGCAGACGAATCACCGCGAGGATTGAAGCGAGAAAGAAATTGCACACACACACACACACACATTCGGAGAAGCGAAAATCAACGAATCAGTATAAACTGAATATTTTTCAATCGATTTTATTGAAAATAATACAACAAAATGTCTCACAATAATAATAATATTAATAATAATAATAATAATAATAATAATAATAATAATTAAAAATAATTAATAATTATAGATACGTACTGTTCTACTCAATATCTAGATATAATCGCCTTAAAACATTGTTTAAATAATAATATTATCATCGTCATTTTAATCAATGTAATAATAAAATAATAAAGGCAATAAAGTTAATAATAATATATCATAGAATAATGTATCAATAAACAAACTTAATAGGCTAATTATTCGTTAATCATTCGTCATCGTTCTCGATCGCTATCAATGGATCTTTTACTTTACCTAGTCATCAATAATGGATAATTAATTAATTCATTAATTAAATTACACGTTGCTTGGATATGCACATAGAGATATAAAGTCGTTTTTGGTCCCACCTAACTGCAAACATTATATTCATACAATTTTTTTGTTATGTGTGTGTATCGCTTGGATCGTTTTACATGTATATGCGTGTGTGTTTACGTGTGGTGTGCACGTGTTGCAAATAACTACTGTCCCGCT